AGGAAGGAAGGAAGGAAGGAAGGCAGCCAGCCAGCCAGCCAGCCAGCCAGCCAGCCAGCCAGCCAGCCAGCCAGCCAGCCAGCCAGCCAGCCAGGATGTCTCCTTACTAAACCCCAGTCTGAAATCCAACTGAAATTTGTTTCCTCCAGGTTCTCTGCAGCTGCAGTCCAACCAGTTTCTCAACAACCTTCCCCAAAACCTTCCCATTTTCATGATCCAGGAGGGACCCAGATCTAGCACACAGGTGGCCAAGCCAACAGCACAAAGAACCCTGTCAATAATAATAATAATAATAATAATAATAATAATAATAATAATAATAATAATAATTCATAATAATGAATTGCTTTTCAGGTTGCAGGATCCCATTTATGTTTCCATTATAACTACTGCATACTGAAGGAGAACTGACCTGATTGAGGACCCACTTTCTACTTTAATAATTTGTCTTTCTTGACCAGGTTCATCTTCCAAGATCTTGATAATGAATCTGAGTCCAGCCATCTGTAGTGCAACCTCAGAACTAGATTTCTGTATTATGTCTACAATATCTGCAAGCTTCTCCAAAGAGTTCCTCTTTCCTGACACCTTCACACTGTAGAAAGCTAATCAATAACAAAGGACAGATCAGTCTCTTAGCAACCACCCAATTATGAATATTTTGTTTAGTTATACTTTTCCATTACAGACCTACATCCACCAAACTAGTTTCTGATTTTTTTTTAAACTTTCCTGCAATTATCTGGCCTAAAATGAGCTCAAATAGACATGTCTTTTTGGCATTTACCTTTGGCTTTTTCATCTAGTATGTCTGGGAAGAAAAGTCCTTCTACTTCAAGAAGTTCATTAATCAGCTGTGTGTCAGTCTTCTCTGTCATGGATGGCATTGGAGAAGACACTTCAGTAGAGAGTGACTCCTTTGGCTTTTTGGAAACCATGGCTTCAGAAAGGCCACGATCTTTCGCAGAGGCCATGTCCAAACTTTGGCAGCCTTGCTCTGTCCCTCCCTTGTTGAAGGTATATTTGAGATAGATGTGGGAGTTCTGCAAGTCATTTTGGGTGCAGCCTTGACAGTACTTGCTCAAGAGTGGCAAGAGTTTCCGAGCCAACTCTACTGATATTGACAGCTGAATCAGGCCCTCTTCATCTAGTTCCAACAGCTTAAAATGCAAAAGACAATTCAGTAAGCAGAAGTCTCTATATACATGGTGCTTCTCAAATCCAATCACAACTTTAAGAGTATAAAAGAGCCAGTTTCTCCAATAGACCCATCCATATACTAGGTACAGAAGGGCAACTTTTGAGCAGTTGGGGGCTGTATCTAAGCCTCTCCACCCTATGTAGAGTCACAGGAGACCATTCAATTATGTAGAAGAATCACTGGAAAGGGCATGGAAAAAACTTTTCAGACTGTTTTTTAGAGTTTATTGGTTAGAATGGTAGCAGTAGGCCTCTGGAAGGCAAACCATTACCATTCCTACACTTAACCCTCACCCCTTGTGAAACAGTGCATTCTGACTCTTAATCTGCAAAATTGTACCATGGGAATTTGGCCATTCTGATTCTGACTTTCAGCAGTACAATCCTAAATGGGATTCTAGGGGGGCTACAAGCAGCTCACTGGTTGCTTATGCCTATATTAGGAAAAGAACACAGGAGTTGCTCTTCCTGGTTACCAGCTCACATTTCTTAATGACCTAAGAAACAGGAATTGTTGGAGGTACCATTGTATTTTTTCTACACAGATGCCTGTTTCTTCCTCTGTTCTCTTCCTCCCAAGTTAAATTTGTTCCATTTACCTGTTCTTCATGATTCTTCTGGATGAACTGAATAATTTCCTGTTGTTCATGTTGTTCTAGCTTTTTAATGAAAAAAAGTAGCTCCCACCATTCAGCCCGGCTCAACATTCCAGAATTCTCATTTAGGTGATCCATTAGGTATGGTAGGCAGTAAAGTCCTCCAAGAGGTTTGCAGTAGAATGTCTGAGTAGCTGCAGGCAGAGAAAGAAAGCAAAAACAAACCTTTTAACTCAGACACTTGATTGCCACTTGCATGTAGCTTGAAAAAACAGGAGAACATTTGGAACAGCTCTCACTCCTTCAAAGAGGAGAGGTGATATTTGCTGTTTCCCCTTCTCCTTTGCAGTCCCCAGTACCAGCAATTCCTCCAACTCATCAGAGCAAATTTGGAGGGAGCATAAGATACATCAGGGAAGAAGGAATGGATGAAGATTGCCAACTATTTTGTTAGCATGATTCTTCCTCAGGAACTTCTCACTTGTAGAGTCTCTTGAATTCTACAGAAAAGAATATGCTCAGTGCTGATATGCAAGTTTCCTATGAGCAAAGAATTATTTAGCTGCAGAAGAATGTGGATTTTTGAACTAAACACGCACCCCCTTTCTGCACAAGCACACAAACACACAGTGTTTTCTCAGTGTAAAAGCTGCAGTGATTAATATCCCAAAGAGCATTTCACACTTTCCTGTTACTTCTCGGTGCATATAAATCCATCTCTAATGCAGTGTGGAGAAAATAACATAGTGAAAAATATAAGGCACAAAGTAGCTGCTACTATTCAACTTTCAGCATTTGACCATATTCATTTCTTCAGATGACAATGGATAAGGCTGTAGAACTAAGATATGACAGTATCTTTTTCTTAGTCTTTAATCCTAATAGTAAGCTACAATCTAGCCTAAAGTGTAACGTCAGTCAAGCAAACTTGTTTCTCCCTGTATGCACATCTAAAAGTTATTTTTCTACCAGTTGAAAGAAGTAAAATAAGGAACAATGAAGAATTCATAATATGCAACGATACAAACTGGAATTAAATGTAATCATAAATGTTTGTAAGTGCCTCTAATCTCACCTGTGGGTAGTTTTAGGTTCTCTGTTAAACTAGATACTTTTTCTTGTGCAGCATCCTCTTCATATTGCTCCCCAGAACCAATAATTTCTATCATGTGCCAGTGCACCCAATAGGTCCGGCCAGTAGACTGCCACAAAACCTGCGAAACAACAAATTGCATAGTTAAAGCCATCTGTTTCCTCAAATACTCCATGCTACAAAGCAGAAGCCCTGAAATAAAGAAAAATAAACACTGCCCAGCATATAAGGGACAGAAGTACTTATAATTTCATTTATGTTAATGATCAAAATAGACTAGTTCACTCTGTTAGAATCAGCAAGCCATAGTGCAACTCTCACACAACTGGAGGGCACCAACTTTGGGAAATGTAGTTTAGGCTGTAGATTACTTTATTTCTACCACAACAGGTTTTGTTGTTAGTAAGGGCATATTGTCTCCTAGCAGCAATCAAGCAATTGAGCTTTAGCTCTATAAGATAGAATAATGGTATAGTCAAGTAAGGGCACTGTGTTTTTTACCCTGTCCCCTCAGAACAGCACTAAGAAGGCATAAAGGCAGTTTCTCCCCAGCAAACTAGTATTCCACAGATAGTTATCACTTCCTCTTCTGACCAACTCAGCAGATGAGTTGCCGACAGAACTATAGGCTGACCACCAGTTTCTCTTTACTACCCCCAAAGTTTGGACCATTGCTGCAGTACATACTTAAGGATAAGAGCATCACTAAATAAGGATAAAGTACATTACATTTGTCTTTCTTGATAAGACACATCGCTCATAATTGTGACCAATACATCATTATATAAGGTTTTGTTTTATTTCATTTTAAATGCAGTCCTGTGACTGGAAAAAATTCCTAGTGCCTATTGTTGTTCAGTTGCTCCCAAATTCTCATAATTCAATGGACACTATTTTGCCAAGACTTCTGTCAGTAATCGCTTCTTTCAGTTCTTATAAGCCCAGTGGTGATATCTACCCACCTTGTCTCTGTCAAACTCTTTTCCAATTGCCTTCAATTTTTCCAAATATCAGTGTCTTCTCCAATTATTCTTGCCTTTGTATTATGTACAGAAACTATTTGCAATTTAGCCTCATTATTAGTGGTTCTAGCAAACGGTTTTACTTTATTTCATCCAGTATTGAACAATTTATTGTCCTTGTGGTCTAAGGTATTCCCAACAATTTTCTCTGGCACAATTCAAAAGCATCCATTTTAATTCATTCAACAGTTTTTGATGATCCAGCTTTCTCAATCTTATGTATTTATAAAAGCCACCCAGCTCATAACAGCTCTAGGCAGCATAAAGGTTAAAAACTAAACCCAATACAATAAAACAAATAGCAATAACCAAGGGACCAGACAACTCTAACATGATGTCGCTTGGGGACACATTCCTAACTCAGGACTTGGGGGAAAAGCCAGGTTTTCAAGTTCTGTTAAAAAGAACAGCAGAGCCAGAGCAACTTGAATCTCCAGGGAAATATTATTCCAGAGGCTAAGCACTGCAACAGAGAAGGCACACCTTCTAGGTCCTATCAGATGACACAGCTTTAAAGATGGGACCTGATCTTGCCTACTCTTTTGGATCTTATTGGACAGGAAGAGACAATGAGAGACAGGTGGTGCTGCAAGTAGCCTGGCCCTATGCCATGAAGGGCTTTACAGACAACAACCAGCACCTTGAATTGCACCTGGATGCTTACTGTAAAGAGTTTTTTAAAAAAATCTTAGCTAACTTCTATACTAAACACTACTACAAAACCCAAACCACCCAGCCACAGGAGGAATTTAAAGAAAGTTCTACCCCTCAACCTACCTGTACAGGAGGCATTCCACTATTGCTCTGACGAAATTCACCCTCATCCCCAGCATCAATCTCCTCGTATTCTTCCAACATTCGCACAGTCATTCCTGGCTTAAGATTCTCCTGCACATACTCAACATAGCTGCTGCGACTAGAAAAATCTGACAGAGTCAAAAATGGTTGTCCTTGTTTTTTTCTTGGTAAAGGGTTTGAAGTTACTAAAGGCACCTGAACAGCAGTACAAGTGGAACCCTTGGGCTGGAAGATGGATCGAATAATTCGAGGCTGTGCATTCGTCAGAGACAGAAGTTCTCTTTCTTGGCTGCGATCCCAGCCCATGACCCGGACCAGCTCCGAAATTAGGTTAGCCATGGCCATGCTGAAATCAAACTCCCGCTGTACCCGGCTCTTTTCCCCAAAGGTGGAACTGGGGGCTGAAGAGTCCTGATGTTCCCCTCCCAATTCTGTGGTGCTGTTTAACTTGTCCATGAGGGAAGTAACACACAGGTAGCGCTTCACTAGAGAAAACAGCAGCTTCCCTGGAATCTGAAACAAATAGAGCTTATCATACTAGTAACTAAAAAATTATGTTTTACCAACTCTATCCCAATGAGCTATATAGATTATATTAGATCCCAAGGAAGGATTAGGTAATGGAATTACCTCCAAATATTTTCGATCATCTCCCATCAGCCCTACACAGCTTGGCAAATTCTATGTGAAGTTATACAGGTAGTCCTCGTTTAACACTCATTCAGCGACCATTCAAAGTTACAACAGCACTGAACAAGGAGAACTTACAACAGGTCCTCATAGTTGTGGCCATTGCAGCATCTTTGCAGTCATGTGATTGCAATTCAGGCGCTCAGCAACCAGCTAACAATTACAATGTCATGGCATCCCACAGTCACATTATTGCCATTTGCAACCTTCACTGCCTGCTTCCAACAAGCAAAGGCAATGGGGAAGCCGACAGGAGGTCACAAATGGTGATCACGTGACCACGGGACATTGCGACCATGCGGGATTTGCCTAACGATAGCAACTGAGACTGCCAGAACTGCCACCATAGGTTGGCACGGTCACACGATGTTGCACCTTACAACCGCATTGTTTAGCGACAGAATTCCCGGTCCCAATTACCATCAGTAAGCAAGGACTATCGGTACCATAAAACATCTGGATAGCACCAAATTGCCAGTCCCAGGTTCATTCTGTATCACATATCAATTTCTAGTAAGTGCATAGCCATTTTCAAAACATCAACTCCAACCTCCACACTATTTATATATTTATTTGAAAAAAATTATATGGCCACCCCTATGAACTCTGCATGGCTAACAACAGTCAACAAAATTAACATAATAAAACCTCTATAAATCAAACAAAAAAAGCAGAATTAAAATAATGAAAATGCAATAAATAAGGCACCAATTAACAAACTCACCCACACAAACCACACCTATATGGCTTGGCACTCAGGGAAAATCCAGGTCATCTCAGCCTTCTAGAAGCCCCTCTGGATCTCAGGAGGGAGGCTGTTTCACCAGGCAGGTGCCATAACAGAGAAGGCACAGCTCCTTAGTCCCACAAGATAGCACTATTTAAAAGAAGGGACCTGCAGCGCATCTATCCTGTCAGATCTAGTGGGATGGGCAGAGACCCTCAGAGAAAGGCAGTCCCACAAATGCCTGGCCAAGTGCCATGCAGGGCTTTAAGGGTGATTACCACTTTGAATTGCCTACAGAAGCATACTGAGAGTCAGTGCTGCATCTACAACAGTGATGTAACCCAGGCAAACCCTGTGCACCCAAAGCTGTCTATGCCACTGAAGCTTCTGAGTGTTTTTCAAGAGTTGCCCCATGTATAACATTTTGCAGTAATCCAGTTGGGAAGTGACAAAGACATGAGTGATAGTGAGTAGGGCTTCTGGTTCAGAAACAAGTGCAACTGGTGCACAAAAACCTCATGAACGTTATTTCCCCTAAGTTTGATTTTAGACCATCCTCCTCTCATGAGACACTCATATATAGCCTTCTATTTTGCACACATCTCTTCAAAAAAGAATCTTAATGCCCATATCCATGCAACCCAATCAGCTGGTACCTGAGGAAGATGGATCCCTTCAAAGGACATACAGTGCTCTTCAGAGGATGTAGTCTCAGCAAAAAGCTCCAAGAGAGTATAACGACTGTCAAAATCCATGTGCTGTTCAATGCCATCTTGCTGGCTCAGGGACAAAAGAACATAAGCTCGGCTTCCTGAAACCAAAATAGCCATGCTTAATATCATCCTTCACCAAATTTCATTTCTCCAACATTACCTATCTATTTTCCATGCTGAAAATCTATTCAGCTCCTATTCAACTCTAGACATATATTAAAATGTGTAACATACCAGAGAACTGCAGGTACACCATACGTACAGGTAATATAATTTACATGGACTTGGTAGATTAATATTCATGGTAGACATCCTACTTTTTCACAATTAATATGTCAGCTAGAGATGGTGACAAAGACATGTGGCATTGCAAGCCCCTCTTAAAATCAAGCCATAATACCACAATACCATAATCATACCATAATACCATTTCAAATATACTAGTCTCAGGTTTGCAAACTTATTTTCCTAATTTCAAGAGCTCGAACTTGTTTCCCCCCATAGATGAAATCAGAGGTGACTAATACCCTAAGAGGAAACTAACTTGTTACTTGAACTGGGAAACTGAATAGCTCCAATATCCTCTTCACAGTTAAAATAGCAAGACCAAAAGACACAGTGTGTTGTGGTTTGTAGAAAAAGCCTAGTTGCCATATAGTTCACATATGAACGTATCAGTTCATTACAGTGAATTTTCTTGATGATCTATAGTTGCTTCATTTCTTGTTTTGTAACAGAAAACCCCCCAAAAGTATTCCTTCTCTCTCTCTCACTCTGCCTTTTTCAACACTTTCCACTTTCCACTACAAATCCACTGTTTATGTTTAGACTGTGAATGCAATGAAAACTGTCACATTCTAAGAGTCTAGGATGTGATACAGGTAGTCCTCACTTAATGTCCATTCATTCAACGACTGTTTGAAATTACGATGGTGCTGAACGAAGTGACTTATGACCTGTCCTCAAAGTTCCAGACACTGCAACATCCCTGCAGTCACATGGACAAAATTCAGGCCCACCAGCATTTACAACCACCTTTTGACCATCCGCCTATCTACTGCCGCCAGCTGCGCCCGCTGCCCGCCTCACCATGCACCACTACTGTACCTGCTAGGGCCTTCTTTTGCACAGCCTTCTTTCGCACCAGTGCAGCCAGGGCTTCTCTTGCAGCCCACCCAGGGATTCCATTAGCCTGCCAGCCAGGGCCTCCATTCATGCCTTGCCCAAGGCCTTCTTTTGCAAAAGAAGCCCTGTGCAAGAAAGAAGGCCTCAGCTGTGCCAGCATGAAAGAAGGACCCTTCTAGCCATTTTTTTAATGTTCAAAGTCGAAGTGTGGAGTTAAAAGCATAGCTAGGTCTTGATAGGTAGAAAAGAGACTAAACGCTTTTCTGCAGAGATAAAACTATAGAACTGTGATAGAAATGAGCAATGATTTTTCCATCCAGCTTTCAATATAAATACACTCCCTCTTTTTATTAACACAGCAGTTAAAAGGCAAATGACATGAGGAGTCAGTTTTGGTTTGTACCTCAGATCAAAATGTGATATTAAGTCCAAGAGGATGCTGAAGTTACAAATGAGAGCTGTTGTTCCAGCAAAGATCAGCAAATAATTTAGTAAGGCTGGAAGAGCCTGATGATCTAGCTTATTTACCCCACTGGGATAGTAAGTATAACAATTTTTTTGAAAATATAGTGATCAAGAACATACAATAAACATTTTGAAAAGCAAAATTGTTTTGAGTTTATTTTTTGTTCTACAATTGGTCATAAATACTAATAATAAACATTTAATGTGGATTTTAAACCAAACTCCCTCAAAAATTTTTGAAAGATCTATAAAAAGCTTACAACATAAAATGTTGTAAGGTAAAGGTAAAGCTTACAACATGAAATGTTGCTGACTCTCTCCACTGTATGACTGTTTATGTGAACAAAAGTAGAACATTAATTTTCAAGGTCTTTTTCCCCAGAAACTTAAGGAAAAATGGTGGACATGAAACTCATTCAAAAGTTCCATTGTAGTTCCAAGTATACAATGATCAGGACTGAGTCATAAAAGGATAGAAGTTCAAAACATTTTGTTTGTTTTCTATAATATTGACTTAAATTTGAAACATAATTTAGTTTGAAAACTATTAAAAGCAAGGCTTGCCAGCTTGTCTCTAAATCTTCTAAATGTAAACTGAAGTTATTGGTTCTATCATGAAGTATTTTTCAATTGCAAGTCTCAACAAATGGCAGCATCTAGCCATTCCTGGCTGATCTCCAGTTCTAAACAGGGTTGGCCCTGGTTAATAGTTGCATATGCAACCACCAGGGAATTCCAGACTAGACTAGAATGGAAAATTTAAAAAAAAATCCTAGAAAAAGGCAACTGCAAACCATTCCATAATGCTGCCAAGTAAGTTACATAGCTGTAGTCACAACTCAAGGGCATCATCTTTTTCTCATCACAATTTTTAAGACTTACACAATTTTGTTTTCTAGGGACTGTTTCTCATTATGAAAACTCTATGAGACAGTAGAACCACAGCAGTTATATAAGAGTAATGGGACTTGAGGCCTACTAAACAGTTTGGTTAACACTGTCATAAGCCTCAGCCAGCAAGGACAGCAAGGAGTAATAGTCCAAAACATCAGAAGGGCACTAAGTTGCCCACCATGATCTACTGTGGCATCAAGATACAGCAAGATACAGCAAAAATCTTTTTCTGAACCACAGTGACTGTTGTCTTCAGCAGTCTTAAACATAACTGTTTATTACAGTACTGAGATAGAACAAAGCTTATACATTCTATATACAGTATACAAGAGTCAAGGCATATGCAATTACAATTCATGAAGCAACATTGAGAAAGACTTCTTTATGGGCTCCTAGAATGCAACTGACTATTAACAGACAGCCAGTGGTTAAGGTGCTGGCCTAGAAACCAGGAAACTGTGAGTTCTAGGCCTCCCCTAGGCATGAAAGCTGGTTGGGTGATTTTGGGCCAGTCACTCACTCTCAGCCCAACCCACCTCACAGGGTTGTTCTTGTGGAGAAAACAGGAGGCAGGAGTATTAGGTATGTTCAATTAGGTATTAAGGGTGTGTGTATGTGTGTATAAATAAATAAAAATAAGGCAGGATAAAAATCTAATAATAATAAAAGTTGCACTAGACTAAATGAACCACTGGTCTCAGTAAACACAAGATAGTTTTCTTTCTTACGAAAAATTCAAATGAAGTACTAAAGATGTAAAACTTACTAAGGCTACATGGAATTATGAAAAAGTCAAACACAATTTCTCTGATCCAAGTCCAACTCAACATTTACCTGCTCATGCTCATTTTAGTAATCCACCTGGCATCAAAAGTGTCACCTGGTTCCATTACACAGAGAAATGATGTAAATTGTGCATTCCAGAAAAGAATACCTTTTAAACTAGTTCCCATCCTAGATAATTTTTGAAGTCAAGGCTTTTTAACCCTTACCAGCAGGAATTAACTTATACAAAAATAATAGTCACTTCAAACTCTCATAGTACTCAAAAGCAGACAGAAAACATTCCCTATGCTATGTGGTACCTTAAAATAAACGGACTGTTTAAAGGTTGTAGCACTAATTTACTTGGGGGAAAGGGCCTCAGTAATTCTTTAAAAATTCCATAATCTGTCTCCAAGGTTACCAGTTACATAACTGTACACTTTTGCCATTCATATCTGTACATCCTTACAATATCCCTGGAGTCATATTTCACACCTACTGACTCTCCTATAATTTAGAATTAATAGGTAATAACATGCAAATTATAGGAATGAAAAAACTGTGCTATAAATTATATAGTAGCTCTTCCTGTTTAAGTTATGTTGTGTTCCTTTTTATAGTTCTGGAATGATTAAAAGTATCAATTTTTCTCTCACCACAATTTGTATTTCAGTTTCCTCCCTTGAGTTTCTTGTTCTTAATGGGAAATTATTAAAGAAACAAAGGTAGACATACTGTCAATAAAGAATGCCTATTATCCTTACTCCATGTGTATGTGTTCAAGAGCAAGTAAGCAACTTTAAAACAAATAAACATTAACATATCAAACAATAAAAATCAAAGTCCAAGATAACAAATTTAATAGTGGCCATTAGCTAACTATAAATGTCAATAAAATAAGTAGCTTGTAACCTAATTCAGAAACATTAATCAAGTTGGCATCAGGAAAGTTTCTTGAGGGAGATGTTCTGAATTCAGAATTTTGGTTAAAAATTTGAGGGTCGGCTTATCCGCAGATGAGCATATATGCAATTACGTACAATATATGAATGAAATTTTACTTAAATCAAGGTTTTCTAGCAGACTTATCCTTTCTTACTATTAGCCAGGCATAACATGTTGTTTCCTTTTATAAGTAATCTTATTCTATTGCAACTGTTATCACCTCCACTCTCTACCATATTCCAAATGGTTTCACATGTTGAAACTTTTCTGTATAAGATGCTTATTACTAAGCATTATAACTTGAATATTTTAACTTTTGATACTAAATCTGAACTGAACAAACCAATTATCAGAACTTAGCAGAAAATGTTCATGTACCCATGAGAACTCCTTCCAGTCTGAATGCAAAAATCAGCAGCCAGCCAATACTCTATTCTAACTTCATGTTGCATTTATTTTCATAGTAATTTATAAAAATGACTGATCACTATGAATGGGGTTGCAAAGATGCCTTACTCACTCATCAAGACTGCTGAAAGGGTGCCATGGAAAAAATCTATTCATAGAAATGAAGCAAAATTTTCCTGTCAATGAGAAACTGTTGCCTTCAAGTTCCAGCAATTTAGATGAAGAACTGTGCTTGCATCTATTATTTCTGTATCGCTGCTAAAGTGGAAATGAATAATCTCTTGCCCAAAAGTGTGTAATCACATGGGCACAGAGCTAATCTGGGACCAGCCCTTAATTATTCACAGAATAGACACTGGACTCAAAAGGACTTAGTCATGATTAATTCTTTCCATTAATTCCAACAAGTTTATTCAAAGCTTGACTAAGCATGGGTCCAATCCAATGTTTTTATTTCATGAGAGTAAGGTATTTATTCCCTCAAACCCCATTACAA